TATACAGGCTCCAGCACAGACATGATATACAGAAATGCCTCCAGCCATAAGAGGGCTGGAGAGATAGCTCAGAGGTTAAGAGCACTGACTGTTCTTCCAGAGGTCCTGAGTTCAATTTCCAGCAACCACATTGTGGCTCACAACCATCTATAATCAGATCTGGAGTGTAGGTACACATGCAGGCAGAGCACTGTATACACAATAAATAGATCTTTTATAAAAGCTACAGGAAAGGAGTGAAGATTCCCAACACACAGAAATGAAAATACTTGAGAAAATGGAAATGACAATTATTTTGATTGGATCATTATACATTATACACATACAACCCAGAACTAAAAATATAATATATGAATGTAAAATAGTTACATCTTTAATAAAAATTGAAAAAAAATATAACTTGGAAAGAAAAAAGAACAAATTCTTCTAGTAAGAAAACAAAGACAATAATAGCTTTTGCAAAGAAAGACGAGGAAGAGGACACTGGAAAACTGTACATATCATTTGCTGCTTGTTCAGAGTCTTAGGCTGGAAAGAGTTTTATTAAAAGGCAAACGGCAGAGTGGCAGTGACGATTGGAAACTGACAGGGAAGCGGCCCTGAGATGCCTCCCTGGCAATGCTCCCTGTGCTGTGCAATGCACATCTGGACTAGAGTTTTTCTGATTCCAACGGACTGGTCATTTCCCTCATTTGTTTATTTAACCACGTATACAAAGCAGTGAGTTTCATTATGGCACTGGCTTGCTTTCTTCTTTTCTTCTTGGGTCTCCCTATGTATCCCAGCTTGGCCTAGAACTTGAGACAATCTTCTTGCCTCAGTCTCCCAATGCTATGTCACCCTCCCCAGCTCATTAGATTTTCAAACACAACACTACACTGTCTTCCTACTTAGCTCATCCTTCATGCCCCCTTTAAAGATCAATAAAGTACATCTTACAATAATAATAACAAGTAGCCTTTCCTAGTTCTGTTCACACTACTTCACTTGCAGCAGTCTCTGGATCCACAAAGCCCTATCAAATGGTCTTTCGCCTATCCACTCCAGTACCCCTGTCCAAGCCCAGATTCTGAGCTCCATGGGCTCAAAGACCTAATTCATTTCTCCCACAAATGGTAACACAGATTCTGGCAAACAGTGGGGATGCTACTGTAGATGTTTCAGGGAAGAGTGACAACACACCAAACTGAAGCCTGTCTCTGCTATTGCCTAGCTGTATAACTGTCATTCAACTTATACCACCTCCCAGAACCTCAACTGTGGAATGGGTTTTGATGGGTTCATTAAAATCTTTACATACTGAAGAGAGAAAAATGGAAAGCAGCCGACTTATAACCTAAGTATTCAATTATAAGTAGATTTTTTGTTTGCTTTGGTTTTGAAACTGAGTTTCTCTGAGTAGCCCTGGCTGTTCTAAAACTAGCTCTGTAGACCAGCCTGGTCTCGAACTCAGAGACTGCCTGCTTCTGCCTCTTGAAAGCTAGGATTAAAGGCAAGCACCACCACAGTCCACTTATAAGTGCTTATTTAAAAAGCTATGGTGGGTGTTGGCATGATGGCTCACTGGTTAGCAGTACTTGGTGCTCTTTCCACAGAATCTAAGTTCAATTCTCAGGACCCTCAGCAGTGGTTCAAAACTACCTGTAACTCCAGCTCCAAGGATCCAATGCCTCTTCTTGCTCCTACATGCACTGAATGCGTGCGTGCGTGCGTGCGTGCGTGCGTGCGTGCGTGCGTGCGTGTGTGTGTGTGTGTGTGTGTGTGTGTGTATGCACACACGCAAGAGAGTATAGCGCTTAGGTCATAAGCCAGTAACTTAAAGAGAAATATCCTATGGACTTAATAACTTAAAAATCAGTATAGATACACGAATGAAAATGCTAGGTGGAAAAGTACACAAACCAATGGCATACTGACTGCAAGCACACAAGCATACACAAGAAACAGAGAGATGTGAGGAGACTGATGCAATCTGGGCTGCCCCTTGTCCTCACCGTGGGGGGCCAGGAATGCTACTGAAAAAACAATCTCAAATTAGTAATTAAATGCTCCAAAACCCCATATAACAACAACAAAGCAGCCGGGCAGCGTTGGTGGCGCACGGCTTTAATCCCAGCACTCGGGAGGCAGAGGCAGGCGGAGCTCTGTGAGTTCGAGGCCAGTCTGGTCTACAGAGTGAATTCTAGGACAGACTCCAAAGCTACACAGAGAAACCCTGTCTCGAAAACAAAATAAACAACAACAACAAAAATCCAGCATATAAGGGAAAGAGCTTTTGAAAGATTGTATTCTAAAATTTCTGGATGTGTGCACCTAAAAGAGAAAACTGTCAATTATCACTGAGCTGCACTAACAAAGGCATATGTTAAATTGATCTACATTCCATGCCAACACCCTATATCTTCGTATTCCTGTTGCTACAAGGAAAACTAGGATGGCTAGTTCGTGTCCTAAATTATCTGTTAGAATGTCATCGCCTAAACCCAGGATATGTGTGCATGAAATCTGGACTACTTAGGAAGCAGAAGCAAGAAAACACAGAATTTCAGCCCTAGCAAAACGGCAGGACCACAGCTGTCACAGTCATGACAACTTGGGGTGTGTGAGGGATGAGGGCTCTGAAGTGTCACCTTCTTTAAGAAGCCTTTCCTGTCTTAAGTTGCTACTCATTTTTTCTCCTCAACTTCCGACCTAGTTTCCCTGCCTAATGGTCTAAGGTGACATGTTATCATTAGCAAACGACTAAAATTTTTGTTGTCATTGTTTTTTCCACTAAGAGAGCAATGTAAGGATCATTTTCTGATTTGTTCTCTTCTAGAACCCCAGTGTACTCCAGAGCACAAGGCAGAGTAGATGTCAGCATCTGATGGATGAAGAAGTGCTGAATGCATGGGTAGCAATTTAGAACATGGTTCTCAAAGTCTCTCCATCCTTTCATATCCGTCACTGGACTCGTTCTACACGGCAGAGGCTGAGCAGAAAAGGAGGCAGTTAGGTGGCAGCAGGGAATTAGTGAATGAGGTCATGAGAATACCATCTGCCCTTAGAATCAGATTCTTTAAGATGTACACAAAGCATGCTTTGTGTCCCCTTTTGCTTGTTAGGAAGTATGATATTGGCCTAATGCTTGTCATCATGGGAACAGACAACAAAAGGAAAGTTGCGTGATGAACTGAGTCTGTCCAAGGCATGCTTGAAAGCCAAAGGCATCTCCAAAGCTTTTCAGCTATATGACAAAGGAGGCTTAATTCTAATTAGAAGAACTCTCACACGTAAAGTAATTATTGAGTTTAGATGAGTTATTACATTTTTTATTCCCCTTCTGAATGAAATATGGCCCAACTTATTTGGATAAATGTATTAATCAACACTGCTGAGTTAGGAAGGAAGGAAATATTCTCCACTATCAGCCCTGAGAACCCAACCCCATAAAGCAAGGGCCAGCAAGACAGCTCAGCGAAAGGTGCTTGCTCACAAGCCTTGCTGACATGAGTCCATTGCCTAATTCCCACAAGGTGGCAGAAGAGAACCAGATCTGGAAAATCATCCTCTGATCTCTGCACTGTGGCATGAGGTGCGAGTGCGCACGCGCACGCACACACGCACACACACACACACACACACACACACACACACACACTAAAGAAAATCTAAAACAACAGCACATTTGGCCCACAATTATTGAAACAAAATATCACATAAGCAAAGGAAGAAACAGTAAAACTATCTGAACAGATATTTAACCTAAGAAATTCACATGAGACAGATAACTCATTCTTTCTACAGATTGACTTTCATGTGTATGTATGTATGTATGAATGCATGTATGAGCATATACCTCTGGGTACCCATGGAAGCCACTGGAAGGTTTCAGGTCCTCTAGAGACACAGTTATAAGCACTGACCTGTGTGTCAGAAATAGAATTCAGGTGTTCTGGAACAGCAACAAGTTTTCTTAAACAATGCCCCAGTTCTCCAGCCCCCTACGAACTCATGTTGAGCACTGCATCTAAATGCACAGTCTAAGTTGGGCTTAGTCTCTAGGTTCATATGTTTCTGAAACTCTCTGGGCAAGAAAATCTTTCCTTTTCTATTATTTATTGAGAAAACCACTTAGAAGGCTTCTCTACATTTTAATTGCCTTGTGTTCTGGTTATCTAGAATAGAAACTACAAATTAATCTGTAAGAAAAGACAGTGGGGAAAGAAAATCTGTCTAAGTTACATGACTGCATGTTCTCGACAGCAATAACTCAAACAGTTTAAGGATAACAAACCCAGAAGGTCAACCATGTTTTCTGTCCTTTAACATCCAAACATCAAGCATTTCAAAACCTAGCCCTGGTCCTGATTGCAGAAAACCTTTCCTAAAAGAATCCTTACAATACCCGAAGACACACTGACCTTCACAGTGACTGTGGCAAAGTCAAACTGGCGTTTTTAACTCCTAAAAATGGCATATGGGCTGGGTATTGTTAGCGCATGCCTTTAATCCCAGCACTCAGGAGGCAGAGGCAGGTAGATCTCTATGAGTTCGTGACCAGCCTGGTCTACAGAGTGAGCTCCAGGACAGCCTCCAACTCTACAGAGAAAACCTGTCTCAAAAAGCCAAAAAAAGCCAGGCGTTGGTGGCGCACGCCTTTAATCCCAGCACTTGGGAGGCAGAGACAGGAGGATCTCTGTGAGTTCGAGGCCAGCCTGGTCTACAAAGTGAGTTCCAGGACAGCCTCCAAAGCCACAGAGAAACCCTGTCTCGAAAAACCAAAAAAAAAAAAAAAAAAGAAAGAAAGAAAGAAAAGAAATGGCATATGGATTCCATTCTTCCCAGCCTTACCTAACCACCTACATCTTTTATAACTGAGAGCCTACCTCATTTCTGGAAAACATCTCTAACAAAATCCTGGAGACTTTAGGTCAGGGCACTCAGTTGCTTCATCACGAATGTAAAGAAAGCTCATCACAACAATGAAACACAGCAGCATTTTAAAGCCAAGCGCTTACCTTTGAATACTTCTGTAGCTCCTCGTCATCTGCAATCTGTGTGTCCAAAGTAGCTACCTACATTTACAAGGAAAACATTTCCATATTTGTATGAGCATAATTCCTGCTTTCTGAAATATCAGCAAACAGAGTACACTGATAACTCATCTCAAAATCTCTATACGGTATTTCTGAAATCTATAAGTATAGCACACACTAATACATTTGCTCTTTTGTTATTCTCTACACTAATCTTTTCATCCTAAATTATACAGAAGTTGAACTGAAGGTAACACATAATTTGACTTCTTGCCCTCCCTCTGCATGGGCTGTATTTTATTAGCAACAGACAAGTACAAGTTATCAGTAAAGTACTTTTCCCTGTAAGCAATTCATTTCTACAGATGTCTACCAATAAACTCAGACTAATATCTGAACTACACACACATCCATCTTTTGGTACTGAGAGACTGCTCAAGTTTTCATGAAGGTGCAGTATGTATATATACTGACATCAGCTCTAAATTACTTATGATACCTAATACAAGGAAAATGCTACATAAATATGTCACAGTATATTGTTCAGAAATAATGACATGAAAACAAAAGTTTGTACCTTTTCAGTTCTGATGAAAATATCCCCCAAATGTGTTTAAACTACAGTGACAATGTGGAATCTATAACATGGAGCCAAATAGGAGTCTAACCATGCCAACTTTAAATTCTAGGATCCTCCAAATTTTAATAAAATCCTGATTATATTAGATCTGTAAAAATCTTACTTTTGGACCATCAAAATGGCTGAGCAGGGCAGCACTGGTTACATTTCAGAATACCTGGATTTGATTCCCAGACACCAACAGTGGCTCACAACCATCTGTAACTCCAGGTCCAAGGAATCTGACACTACCTTCTGGCCTCTGTGGGCACCAAGCACAAAGGTGGTGCACACCATACAATCAGCCAGGCACTTACACAGAAAACAAATAGTTTTTGAAATGGCTCAGCAGGTATAAACTCTTGTGCAAGCCTAATGACCTGAGTTTGATCTTTAAAACAAATGCAAAAATAGAAGAAAACTGACTCCTGAAAGTTGTCCTCTGTCCTCCACATTTCCATCAGGTCATATTCATACCCATAGTCACATGCATATTCACAAAAAATATTTTAAAACAATTATCCCAGCCCTTGGGAGGCAAAGGCAGGTGGATCTCTGAGTTTGATACCAGTCTCATCTATAGAGTGAGTTTCAGGACAACGAGGGCTACACAGAGAAACCCTGTCTCCAAAACATAAAACAAAAAAATTTTATTCTTAGCTGAGCATAGTGGCACACACCTTTAATCCCAGCACTCGGGGAGTTGAGGCAGGCAGGTCTCTTTAGGTCTGAGATCAGACTGGTCTACATAGTGAATTCTAGGACAGCCAGCTGCTGTCTCAGGGAAAGGAAAAACAATTATTTTTTTCTCTCTTGACAAAACTGGGAGCATTGCTGTTTTAAAACTTCAAACTCAGGTCTTAAATTCTGTAAGTTAGTCACATAGACATGGTGGTAAGAAGATTAGGAGGCTAACCAGGCTACAAAAGACCCAGTCTCAAATTGGTACCATCCTCTTCCACAGAAAACAATCTAACAAAAATCCAGATTCTGGAAGAAAGTACAATAAGTAAAAGTGGAATGTATGTATCCATTCACTCATCTGTTTTACCAGGCTTCTCCCTGGTGTCCCTATAACTTGAAAGGAATCACAATATAGATCCAACTTAAATCTCTCCTGTTTCTAGCCTTGACTTCACCATTTGACGTACAAAAATCTGATATAGAGAATAAAACTTTGACTCGCACACACCTCCATCACAGAACTTTATTCTCCAACAGGGTTGCTAGTGAATAACACAAAGCCCTCAGTTTAAGCTATCATAAATCAGGCATGATAGTTCATGTCTGTAATCCCTCAACTGAGGAGGTAAAAGCAGGAAGACCACAAGTTCCAGGTCATTCTAAGCTACAGAGCAAGCTTGAGGGCAGCTCAGGCTACATGAGACCCTGTTTCAAAAAAGTAAAAATAAAAATCCTATCATATAACTGATGAGTCACATACTCTCTGATCATACATACATATGAGAATCCGTGACTTTCTAGGTAGCAGCCCAGTGACTATGCTCTATGAACCAGAGACCCTGGAGTAATAAGAACTAACATGCAGGCCCAGAATGAACAAGAAAGTGACCATGTGACTCATCTTAATGACATTAAGGCCACTCTGGTGACAGTGGCCAGAGATTCAAAATATAAAATTAAGTGTTCAGCATTAATGACAACCCAATATTAATAACCACACACACAAGAATGTGTCAGGGCTACATAACAAGACCTTGTCTCAAAAAATGAAATTTAAAAGACAACAGATATTTTATTGCCATGTTTGATGAACACCAATAAGATTTTTCTAATGCAGCTTTCTCCTTTCATGTGGTTTCACTGGGGAAATGTAACCAATCCTTTACTGGCCAAATCTAATAACAGGTGAAAGGGAGCCTAATGGCCTGCTGGCACCATAAACTCATACCTCACCTAAATTACTTCCTGTTCTTCTAAATACATTTCATAATCATTCTTTCATTTTTCTCATAAAACTGTAAGATTCTTTGTGAAACATAGGACTAATATCCACAGCCCTTTCAGTGTACAATAAAACAAACAGATCATAAAAGCAATCATAAAGATGCCAGCCATTTTAAGCAGCTGATTCAGGCTATAAATTTAAAGGCAAGCTTTCACCCTCCTAATGTTCTGCTGCCTATAGTTGACCTAACTGACTTCAACGTGAACAGAGTGTCCGTTAATTGTAACTGAAGTTTGTGCACAGTCCTTAATTGTTCTTATAGCTTAAAACGCTTTAAAAATTGATTGATTGCTCTAACAGGAGAGAAAGGCAGGAAGAAGACAACTGCAGCAGTCTATGTCTTCTTTGACTCTCTCATCTTAAATTATAGTGCTAGAAGTGTAATGTGAAATGAAGCTTTCTATTAAAATATTTTTTTAACATACCATTACTTCATAATCTGGGCCCAGTAGGTTTTCCCATCTGGATTTCAGCTCATTTTCTGGAGAGCCTGGGACTTTCTCTGGAGTTACATCTATAAGAAAAAGAACATCGAAGCTGCTGGGAGCCAAACATACTGAATTAACAAATTCTTTAGTAACAGCTCAGCTTCAGTAAGAAAAGGAGAAATGAGTAAAAGGAAAATGTATTCATTTAAATCTAACTGGTAATGTAAATCAAAGTCACTAATGAGAATAATACAAAATATAAAATGATCTGTGGCAAACCTGTGAAGGGGCTTTTTTCAGGAACACTTTAAAGGAAGGAGGAAGTGATGAATTATAAGAGAAATTTGAATATGCAGTTTCTACGTAGTGACCCTACATATCTAGCTAGTTTTATTTGTAGGTCTTATGCAGATTTGATTTAAATGTTAATCTTTTCAAAGTAGTACCCTTCTACCTCTCCACTGGGAACATAAATGCATGTGGAGCTAGCACCGCAATCAGCAAGAGTCAGTTGCACAACAGAGCCAAGCATCCACACGCCTAGATGGACAGAAAAGTTGTCTGGCTAAAACCTGAGTTTCATCAGATAGACACTTTAATTTTACACCAGTCTTTTGTTGCTGCTTCATTAAGATATTTGCAGCTTTTCAGTGTTCCCCATTTAATGGTGCCATTATCACAAAGGTGAGAGCATTTTAAAAGCAGAGACATATTGGAAACGCCAGGCCTGCCCTCCCTTAGAATTTTCCCCAGCCTCTCAACGTATTGAACAGACTGAAGAATGCCTAACACATAAAAGTCAAAGTACTAAACTATCATTTGCACTTACACCCACACTAACAGCAGAGGATAAAAAGGTTCCACGTTTTTTAAGTCCCACATTTCTGCTGTAAGATTGGACATGTCACAGAACACTTATCACAAGCGACATAACCATCTGCCTACCGTCAAATGTAACACGCAGCATCAGCTCTTTTCATCTACAGAGCAGCTCACTTCGGCTGCACAGAACACTTAATTACAAACTACAAATCATTAAGTTAAAGCGGCTAACTCCAGAATCAGAGACTAAGACTAATGAATACTAAAGAACTTAAATTACTCCATTTACAAAAGAACATCCAGGAAATAACTATATTAACTGATATGCTAGATTGCATTTGGGGGCAGCTAACCAAAGATCCTATTAAAACAAGTATAAAATCATTTGGGTGACATGAACTCCTAGGAATATTTCCTTAAGAAATTCTGAGTTCTTAACAATTTCTTTCCTTTCTTCTTCTTTTTTTTTTTTTAATTTATTTATGTGGGATAGGGGCAGGAGGGAGAATTCACAAGTCACAGCATACAGGTGGACATCAGAGAACATCTTATGTAGAGCTGGCTTTCTCCTTCTACTTTATGTGGGTACTGGGAGTCGACCTTGGGTTTTCAGGCTTACTGCAAGTACTGTTACCACCTGAACCACCTTCCCAGCCCCTTTCCCAAATGCTTTAAAAGTTTCAACAATTTGCCTGTTCAGTGTCTTCCAGGCACAGTTTCATACTTGCTATATGAATCTGAACAATTTCTACAATGTGTTGAGAGAACTCTAAGCTTACAAACATGGTAATCAGATAACACCAAGTAAAAAAAGACGCTGATGATTCAATTCCCTTGGGGCTGTTTTTGCCTTTCAGGTACACAATGAAAGCACACACAGCTATGTGTTTTAAAGCACAGCTCAGAGGACTAAGGGCCAGAGGAAGGTCATTAACCTACTTGCAGCAGCAGCAACAAAAAAGCTACACAAAGAATCAAACAACAGGCCGGGCGTTGGTGGCGCACACCTTTAATCCCAGCACTCGGGAGGCAGAGGCAGGCGGATCTCTGTGAGTTCGAGGCCAGCCTGGTCTACAGAGTGAGTTCCAGGACAGCCTCCAAAGCCACAGAGAAACCCTGGCTCGAAAAACAAACAAAAAAAAAAAAAAAAAAAAAAAAAAAAAGAATCAAACAACAGAGTAAAACAACCATCCTGCACGTGAGACACAGATTGATATTACAGCAGTCAATAGAGGCAGACATACTTGCAAACTGAAATTATACCTGTGCATGAAGGGAAAAGTACAGTGAAATTCATTTTTAAAACATGAGCACAATGCTCGGTGTGGTGGTGTACACCTTTAACCCCAACACATAGAAGGCAGTCGCAGGCAGATCTCTGTGAGGTTGAAGCCAGCCTGTGGTCTGCACAGGAAATTCCAGGATGCCAGGGCTGCATAGTGAGACCCTATCTCAAAATAAATAAAATAAAAGCTTTAAAAAATTTAACAAAAAATGAGCCGGTGGTGGTGACATATGCCTTCAATTCCAGCCCTTGGAAGGCAGAGGTAGGCAGATCTCAGTGAGTTCGGGGCCAACCTAATCTACAAAGCGATTGCCAGGACAGCAGGACTGTTATACAGAGAAACCCTGTCTTCAAAAACAAAACAAAATGTGCCCCTTTTGCTGGGCGGTGGTGGCGCACGCCCTTAATTCCAGCACTCGAAAGGCAAAAGCAGGCAGATCTTTGTGAGTTTGAAACCACCCTGATCTACAAGAGCTAGTTCCAGGACAGCCTCCACCACAGAAAAACCCTGTCTCAAAAAACCAAAACAACAACCTAACAACAACCAAAAGGCATGGGTACAGCATAGGGAAGTGGAGACAGGAGAACTGTGAGTTCTAGGCTAGCCTGAGCTACGCAGTAATATCTTTTCTCAAAAACAAAGAAAAAAAATGACAATAGCAATGAAACACCATATTTCTAAAACTATCTCTAATTTCAGTTTTTTTTATTTTTACCTACTTCTTTGAAATTCATCTGAGATCAACTAAATTAAAGTATGACAACTAATTGCCCTATAGCTGGATCTGAAAGGGGATGGGGGTGGCTCCTAAAACCTTTATCTTGAGTGTGACATTATTAATACCTTCCTTTGGGTTACCTTTCCTAACATAAAAAAAGCCAAACGCCAGCTTCTCTAGAACACGGATGGCGGTAAATCTTTTAGAAAGTTTCACTTAGCAGGCAAAGCTTTCCTGAATACTTCTGTAGAAGTGTCAAAGTACAATGTAAAAGGTCAAAGTTGGAAACAATTCACAAAATTTAAAATAAATATAGAGCAGCCTGTCATTTGATGCAACATATAAAAAATTCATGTCAACTTTTATAAAGAAACACTTCTACATATAAACAGGTAGTTACAATATTTTGATATAAATATAACCATAACATAAGAATCCATAGTAATTAAAATACATAATTATTGCATACTAATATATATACATGTGAAACATAAACAAAGATCAAGCAAAAATACCCTTGGTACTCTACTGCCAAGTATGTTAATAGACACAGCACCCCATCTTATTAAAATGTAGGGTTTGTGAGGTTGGTGTTAGTACTAGGGGAGTGAACTTAGGGTCTCATACATGCACTGCACTCTACCATGGTGGTACATCCCTAGCAAAATATCCTCCTTCCAACTCTAAAAGGTCTCTACAGCATGAGCTTCCATCAGATAGAAATTGCTTTTATAAAGATCTTTAGTTGCTACCTAGTTATTAGATATTTGTTGATGTTCCTTCTGTATGCTGTGAATATATGTTTCTCTTATTGGCTGATGAATAAAACTGTTCCAACCAATGGGCAGGCAGGATGTAGGAAGGCAGGAAGTATAGGCGGGGCTACCAGAATGCTGGGAAGAGAAACACAGAGAGTCACCAGAGAGACGCCATATAGCTTGCTGAGGGAGTAACATGCCAGAGCATTATGGGTAAGCCACAGCCTTGTGGCAATGCATAATTTAATAAAAATGTGTTAATAATTAGAGACAGCCAGCCAATAAGAAGCCTGAACCATTGGTGAAACAGTTTATAACTAATATAAGCCTGTGTGTTTATTTGGGACTAAACAACTGTGGGACTACACAGGACAGATACTTTGTCTACAATTTGTAGCTTTAAAAACTCTTGGTGTAATACTGATTCTGCAGATGCCACAAGAAATTAACTAGAGAGAAGAAATGATTAACAAACAAAAAGACTGAAGTACTCCAAAGAAAAGGCTTTGGGGCCTACCTGGTTTTTCTAAGGCTTGTATGTTGTCCTTTTTCAAAATATCGAGTCTTTCTCCAATTTCCTCCGCTTCAGTATCCAAATTCATTTCTGTTTTCTGGAATCCTGTTAGGGCTGATACTTTAGGCAGTTCTGCAACAGTTCCTAAAATGAGAATTGCTGGTTTGAATCACTAGTTCTGTGGGGGCAAATGGGGTGGCACATTCAAATGAACTTAAATTTTTACTCCCTTTCACCTTTCCCAGGATCTCTCTGCAGGTGATTCTTTTAATGCTAAAGTTTTCTGTGAGGTAACTAACTCAAAACACAGTTTGATAGTATTCAAAGAATGAGGAAGTATAGAAAATGAAAGTGAAAAGCAAGGCTAAATTCATGACAAAACAGGGATAGATTTTTTTGGGGGGTAACATAGCTCTAGAAAAAAAAAGAAAAGAAACCAACAATGAGAAGGCTGTAATTCTCTCGCTGTTGTCGACAGAGCTGAGCAACAAATGCAAATAGACTGGATCACCATCAAGCACCTGTGGAAAGCCAAACAGGCAACCTCAGAGACAGGAGGTGTGAGAAGCCCTCTGGGTGCAGATGGCTCCCCTCCTTTTCCTCAGACAAGACACGAGACAAAGTTAAAGTTACCACCACTAAACAGAAGAAATGCAGCACAGTGACATTTTACAGGGTTTCCCTTTATTAAAAATAATTCCCCATCTTTTTTAATTTTTAATATATTTTTCAAATGGATATGAGCATTTTGTCTCCAAGTGTGGGCCTGGTAACTACAGGACAGAAGATTGGGTCAGATCCCTTGGAACCAGAGTTATAGATGGTCATAAGCCTTCATGTGTGCTGCATTCTGAATCTGGGACCTCTGTAAGAGCAGCAAGTGTTTTTAACCACTGAGCCATGGCTCTAGCTCTTTGTAAAAGAATTTTTATTAAAAGTATGAGGCTACAAAGAAATCATCAAAATTCAGGTTGTGGTATTTCAGTATCTAATGGATGAATCCCTTCAGGGGAAAAAAAACATAGAGCAGGGATGTGGGACTTCTATATTCAGAAACCATGTCACCCCACATGGCATATATGATTTAGGAAGCACTTTAAGGGAGGAGTCAGAAGGAACAGAAAAAGAAAATACAAAAGACATCTAGGGAAATGTATCTGTCTGTCTGATGACCTGCACATAGGTATGTGTTGGCGTGTATGCACACAGAACTGAGGAGGGCTTCAAGTGTCCACTCGTCACTCTCCACCTTATTCTTTTGAGAAGGGATATCTCTGAATCTGGAGCTAGGCTGGCAGTCGGCAAACCCTGGAAACCCTCCTGTTTCCCCCCCTCACAGTGCTGGGTTTACAGGACCATGTATAGACATGCTCAGTTTTTTACATAGATTCTGGGCATTTGAATTCAGGTCTTCGTGCGTATATAGCAAACATTCTTACCTTCTATGTGGTGATATATTGATTATGATTTTGCAAAGCCACTGAAGGTCAGAATGCAAAGCTAGCCACAGCCATAGAAGCTGGGCAGTGGTGGCACACACATTTAATCCCAGGACTCAAGAAACAGAGGCAGATGGATCTCAGTGAATTAAAGGCCATCCTGGGCTACATGAAAGTAAATCAGACTAAAAGATAAACAGAGCTCTTGCCTTTAATCCCAGCACTAGAGAGATATATAAGGAAGAAGCAAAGAACCTCATGTGAGATTCAGTTTCCAGTCACAGGGAAGACAGGACTCCATTTCAGCTTGGTAGAGGTAAGAGCTACTGACTGGCTGCTTTGCTTTTCTGATCTTCAGCTTGAACCCCAATATCTATCTCTGGGCTTTTATTATTCATGCTACATTTTTACCCAAAGAGTGATCTCCCTGGTACTACCAAATAAGAAACTGTACATGTACAAGGTATTTGATATTAGATATTACTATTACTTCTCTTTGTTGTGATAATAGTATTGTTGTTTAGGAAAATAACTATTTTCATGATGCCTACACTTCTCTAAAATGGTTCAGAAGAAATATGGGGAGAAGGTGACTGGGTGTTCTGTTCAGTTTGTTTTCCTATGTGCTTGAAATGCTTTAACAGCTAAGAGCTGAGACATACAACCAACTAATCTCCTGTGACAGGAACATGAAACTTTAAAACCACTCACATAGTATTTTTTGGACCATTAATCAACTGATGCCATAAATAAATGCATAGATAGTAGTAGGATAAGAAATGTCAATCATTAATTGATGCATTATTTATTTATAATAACCAAGAAAAGGAAACAGCTTCGGTGAACACTTAGCATAAATATATAAATAAATGTATATTACAAAAATAATCAACTGCTAGTGCCTGGGTGCGCCTGGAGGACACTATATGAAGTAAAATTAGCTCAGTAGAGAAGGACAAACCCTGCATGCGGCTCTACCCATTTGAACTTTCTGCATAGTCAAATTCAAAGAAACAGTGAAATGGCAGCTGCCTAGGAGTGGAGACTGAAGCTAGTGACATGAAGCTTCCATCACAGAAGATGGGGAAGTTCTATGGCTAGGCTGGCAATAATGTTAACAACAGAGAATCTTTTTTATTTTTAAGAAAGTGTCTCACTATGTAGCCCTTGCTGGTCTAGAACTTGCTATATGGACCAGGCTGGCCTTGAATTCATAACAATCCACCTGCCTTTCTGAGAGTTGAGACAGAAGGTATGGTCCCCACACCCAGTGTGAGGTGAATCAAGGGTCCAGTTGAGGGGATTTAGAACTAATTAGAAAGGAACTGCTGGTCATTCCGATAACAGATCATCTAGATGAGGGTGACTGCGGGTGGCCCCATTCCATTGGATGAGACCCTGAACTGAAGAAAGGAAAAGTGAGTCAATCACCGGCACTCCTCACCCTCTGTTTCCTGACTGAAGACACCCTGTGACTAACTAGTGTCTCGCTCCTGTGACGATGCCTTCCCCACTATGATGGACAGCGTCCCTTGAGCTGTAAGCCAGAACTAACCCTCCTTTCCTTTCTTACATTGTTTCTTGGTAAGTATCTGGTCATGGCAATGAGAAAAGCAACTAATACAATAATAACATTTTCCCTTTAGAATTATTCATTTATTTTATTTTATTTATATGTGTATTTTGACCATGTACATGCCTGGTGCTTGGAGATATCAGAAAAGAACATTTTGATCCCTTGGAACTTAAGTTTATTCACTGGGTTTTGTTTGTTTGTTTGTTTTGGAGGGTTTTTGTTTTTAGACAAGGCCTCACTATTTAATCCTTACTGGTCTGGAACTTACTATGTAGATCAGGATGGACTTGAACTCACAGAGATTTGCCTGTCTCTATCTCCTTAGTATTGGGATTAAAGACACACATCCCCACGCCTGGTGAAACTAGAGTTAATAATAGTTCCTTTCTTTAAATGCCAATCAGAGGAGCTGGAAAGAGGCTCAGTAGTTTAGAGCACTGACTGCTCTTCGAGAAGATATGGGTTCCATCCCCAGCACCCACATGACAGCTAAAAACTGTCTGTAACTCCACTTCCAAAGGATCAGATGCTCTTCTGGCCTCCACAGGCACCAGGAACATGTGTGGTGCACAGACATACATGCAAATAAATACTCATATAAAGTAACAATTTTTTAAATTATAAAATGCCAATCAGAGCTCCTGAGGAAGCAGCAGAATACAGTCATGTACCATGAGAACTTTAATAACACAACACAATGTGATTGCATGTCATAAAGAACCAAATACTGGCCAGCAAGATGGCTCAGCCAGCAAAGGGACTTGCTGTCAAGACAGATAACCTCAGTTCAGTCTCCAGAACCCATATGATAGAGAGAAAAACTGTCTCCCAAAAGATGTGCTCTGGTATCCAAGAAACTGTGTATTTTTCCACAATGTAGACTTGTTATTTTATAACCTTATTGATAAATCATATTATTTTAATAAAAATGTTCTTGATAAAAATTTCAATTTTACTTTTCCACCACACTTCAAAAGGCAAATGAAGAGATAACTAGAGTAAAACACATCATAAAAGCAATCTGGATCTGAAGCTTGAGAAGTGTCTAGAGATAAGTGAATGAAAACAGTGATTTCTGTCTCCATTTAAAGTCACTCTGGGCTCAGTCACTGCTTGCATCCTGAGCTGATGCACTGCAGCAGGCCAGGGAAATGACTCTGCAAAGGAGTCAAGATGACTCATCTCTCCATCACCGAATTCCACAAGATAAGCCTCCCAGACCATAACTTTGCCATTCTTCCAAAATCAGCTCCATGGAAAAGAAAGGGATGGGAGCATTAATTACCTCTGCCTGAAGGCTGTTCAAATGGAGAATCAGATGAAGATGTTTTCCTGCGAACTAGGGTTAGGTGTACCACCTCTCCTGCATTTCGTAATACTTCAACAACATCCTGATTGGCAAAACCCTGAATATTCACACCGTCCACCTATGACATCAAGAGACAGAACAGAGTTCCAAGTAAACTATCACCATCTGTATTTTGGTTTTTGAAAGACATCTCACTATGTAGTACAGAGAGACAAGCTCAGTTGGCCTAAGACTCAGTGTTTCTCTTGCCTCAGCCTCCTGAGTGCTGGGACTAAAGGCATCTGAGTCACCATGCCGATCAACTACGCTCATTAATTTGTCAGTGCTGAATAAAACAGGGTAATTTTGCTCCCCAAATACTGTATATTAGACCAGAAAGTATTTTTGAATAAAAATAAAAAACTAGTTTTGTTGACAAATTTACATGCAAATAAGAAAATAAATTCAAACTTATATTCTTAAATCACACATTTTTAACTATCAGCCTGACAGAGGCAAAAAGCCTCTCTACAGATAATCAAAATTTTTAAAAATTAAAAAGCTATAAAATCTGGTTGTTACACAGGTTTCAAATGTACCTATAAAATTCATTACCAGCACTGAAGAGTCATTGCTATGTGGCATCACTATGTGCTAATTTCCAGAGAAGCACACTGTTTTCACACCATTGGGTCTTCCAGTGTTCTGAAAATGATGTGCATGAAGCCTGGCAGGCCAGACCATTGCTTTAGATTTCCTCCTAACTTCTCAAAGCATGCAATGCTTCTACTATCTATCCTCCAGACCCTACAACCATCAAAAGATGTCTGGTAGGGTCATTAAGGTAAAAGCCAGTGTTCATAAAAGATGATTTCTTAAATGGACTCTAATCCCATCACCCATCATCTGGTTCCATGGAACTCTGTGTGTGCAACAGACAGCAAAGCATGTACATAGAAATTTACCTCTACTGAAAGGGAAGACTAGCCAGGCAGTAGTGACACAGACCTTTAATAGCAGAACTCAGGAGACGAGACAGAGGCAGATTGATCTCTGGATTAGAGGCCAGCCTGGTCTACAGAGTGAATTCCAGGATAGCCAAGGCTACACAAAGAAACCCTGTCTCAAAAAAACAAAAAAGAAAAGGGAGAGGGGTTGCAAAGGACACCTAATTTTAATTAGTAAAGGGTTATATTCTCAAATATATAAAGTACTTCCATTTTTGATGTACTCAAAAGTATTTAGAAAGCCAGGCGGTGGTGGCGCACGCCTTTAATCCCAGCACTCGGGAGGCAGAGGCAGGCGGATCGCTGTGAGTTCGAGGCCAGGCTGGATCGACAGCCTCCAAAACAATACAGAGAAACCCTGTCTCGTAAAAAACCAAAAAAAAAAAAAATCACATAAAATGTGTGAATATATAGAGACATTTGGGAAGGGAGTTGGTTTTTCAAGACAGGGTTTCTCTTTGTAGCTCTGGCTGTTCTGGAACTTGCCTTGTTGACCAGGCTGGTCTTGAACTCACAGAGATCTGTGCTGAGATTAAAAACATGCAACACCACCACCCAGTGGCACATAGAGACTGTTAAAGAGCATTTCCTAGAACATAAAACATCTTTCAGATACAATTCTATTCATACATTTATTTTTTTTCTACCAACATGTTTAGCAGAATGTTTCCTCTTTGGCTATAATAAATTATATTTAGAGCCTAAAATCATGTAAGAGCCTGAATCAATGTGATTTCACTGTACTAGTAAGAATAATTTTTTTAAAGCTCTATGATATGGGCATGGTAGCACACCCCTTTAATCACAGCACTTGAGAGGCAGAGGCAGGTGGATCTCTAAATTCAAGGACAGCCTGATTTACAAACTGAACTCTAGACCAGCTAAGGTTATGTAGTGAGACCCTACCTCAAAAAAACAAACAACTGCCAGACGTTGGTGGCACATGTCTTTAATACCAGCACTCAGGAGACAGAGGCAGGAGAATCTCTGTGAGTTCCAGGACAGCCTCCAAAACAATACAGGGAAACCCTGTCTCAAAAAACAAAAACAAAAAAACAAACAACAAAAAACCCTAAAGATAACATAAAACTAAAATTACAAAATTAAACTAAGCCATCTTCTTTTCCTGCATATGACAGAAAGACCAACCTTTCTCCAATTTGATTCAATTATACAAAAAGAAAAGCCATTACTTACAGCCACTATTTTGTCATTCACTTGAATTTGGCCATTGTGGTATGCAGCACTGCCTGGTATTATACTTTTCACATAAATCCCTGAAGCTTCCCCTGAAAGTGCATAAACATACAGAAAAAAGGAAGAAAGCTAAAATTAGGACCTGATTGCAAAATTGTTATCAAGAGGCTAATTAGCTTAAGAGGCTGACTAGAGATTTCATAAATACTATTTTGAACACATGCAGGGTAATTGATGGATTATTTCAAACTGTCACTTCACAAGTGACCTGAATTCAAAACAATTTGACTGATGACTACCCTCCTGGAAAAATAATCAGTAATGGAAACCTTGATGAATGCATTTCTCTCTAAGCTGGGATTCTGGAGGGCCAGGATGAACCCTGGTCTATCGCAACTTGACCTGCTGACTCAGCTCAAACTCTCATCATTTTTCACTAGCATCAAGCAAGAGTCACATGTATTCCTGCCGATACTTAGTTGAGTGCCATGTGTGCCATCCAGATACTAAAAAAGAGCACATGTGGTCTTTTTAAAAAGCTAGAATGGGGGCCAGAAAGAAGGCCTGGCAATCTGAGTTCAATGCCAGGAACACACGTAACAGTAGAAATAATCAACTCCACAAAGTGGCCCTCTGACCTCTACATGGACAAGCATACACACCCCTTTATGCATATAATAATAATTTTTAAAAATAGAATGAGCTCAGCAGGATGAAATAATCCTTATACTATAAAACTAAATATTTACCCAAAAATAGCTATAAAACATTATAACCATATAAAAAAATACATTCCTAAGAGAAAGAACTACAAGGGAAATTGAGAAATTGGAAAACGGTTAAGTTTCCACTGCCAGCATAATTATCCATAAACTTCACTAACTCATATCCCAGGTCTCCCACATTAATCCTTCTCCAAGACCTGATGGTCAGACTGACATTGCACCAAATGCCAAGAGCTTTCCTGACTCTACACATTAGCTTCTTTCTTCCCCCATCTAATCCTCCTTCCTCGTTACCACAATTGTTTCTTTCTCAATTCTCCTCTCAACTTCCATCTTTCATCTGCTATGCTAAAACAGATGCTTTTCCAGTTATCTTTAAACATTTAAAGGGTTTTACACTTTAATTACATGCCCTGGATAGACTTTTTTGCTTGTTTTGGTTTATAACGGGAAGTTTCTCTGTGTTGTCCAGGCTGGCCTCAAACTTGTGAGCTCAAGTGATGCCTTCCAACTCAACTGCTGAAGTGACTGAGATTACAGAAGCATGCCACCATGCCTATCCAAACCCCAGCACCAAAATAAAAGAACCAAAACTAAAGGAAACAAAGTGCCAGTTGTTTCTATACATGTCTTTAAAAGCTGTTGACATTACAAATGTCTCATTTTTTGACTCACTTGCTCATCCTCTCAAAATCACCCAAGCCCACAATTTTGAGAGTAAATAAGTAAAAAGATTCTTTTCTTTACTCAATAACACAAAACCATCCAACTGTCTCTTACTCATGAGTCTCTACTGAGGCACTGAGGTTTAAGTTTAGGAACTCAGCCACAACTCAACTCTAACAGGCTATAAGATAGTGAGTCAGGCATTGGTGGTGCACGCCTTTAATCCCAGCAATTGAGAGGCAGAGGCAGGTGCATCTCTGTGAGTTTGAGGCTAGCCTGGTCTACAGAGCTACACAAAGAAACCCTGTCTCAGAAGAGAGAGAGAGAGAGAGAGAGACAGACAGAGACAGAGACAGAGACAGAGAGACAGAGAGAGACAGAGAGAGACAGAGAGAGACAGAGAGAGACAGAGAGAGGATAGTGATAACAACTCAGTATGTTTTCTGTAACGTTTTTTTTTCAAACCCATACTTAACTTTTAAGGAACTTATTTAAATTCTGAACCTAAAAAGGGTGGCACGTAGAAAAATCAGAACTTTTGAAATTAGGTATTTCATTAGGCTGAAATAGCACAAAGTAGTCTGACATGAATTTCTTTCAGGCCTGTGAATACATTAGCACTCTTAATCTCTTCACCTGCTCCAATGCATGACAACTTTTTAAGCAATTAATTTTCTACATTCACTATTTTTCAGAAGAACTAAAATACTTGATAGCTAACTTTTCATATAGCTATCAAATATTTCTAAAAGGTTTATTTTTACCTAACCTAGTAATTCTTCAATTACCAAGGGAAAACTAACAGTGAAAGTTACTGCTAACTTTCAGGTAACATTTGAAAAACATTTTTTCTGATACATGCATCATGTATTCTCACAATGCACTCCCCTATATGAAAGAAAAAAATAGTTCTAATGAAATACTTTTCTATCTCATTTTTTTCATGATTAAACACAAATATATTTTGGGCATTCACAATATACAACATATGCAGTGATCAATTTCCTTTATTCCAGACATAATACTGTATAATACATTAACAGCACATAATTTTAGAAGGAAAGTGAAGTTCCAATGTTACAAAATGGACTGCTATTACATTCCTTTGTTACTAACTATAAAGCCAGCTGTTAAACTACTGAGGCAAAATGTGACTCTAATCACTGAAAAGTAACTGCTCGTTATTACACATTCACAGTTTTATTGTTTGAGTTTTAAATTAAAGTCTGTGGGTACTTAATTTTATTATCTAGAAACCTTAACATCCTTTATAATTATCCAAAATATGAAGTAGAAATGATTCATTTACCTGAATGAGCTGTTCCAACATAGCCAACAATTCTAATCCCAAGACTCTGTCCATCTTTTTTAACAAGTTCGACATTATAAGTTTCAAAAGGAGAACAGTCCTGCAGGGAAATAACAAACCCATTGTTAAGATATTTAGATGATAACTGCTTACATAGTCAATCTGTGCACCCAGTTTGCCAAGTGTTTTCCGTGATGATCCCCATAATTTCCCATCTCTGGACCTGCCCCTGTGCTTGTAAAGTCAGATGGCAAAGGGGAGATTATTCAAGTGGACCTAATCTAATCAAAGTAGTCCCTTGTGAACAGAGTTTTCTACTGCTGGTAATAGAAAGGGCAAAGAAATAGATTTTAAACATACAAGATCAGCTTGTGGTTTGAAGTTGGAGGAGTCATACAAGAAAGATGGGAACAAGGGGACCTAAGAGCTTGAAAGATGTTGTGGCTGGAGGCCAACAAAGAAAAGGCCCTGAAAGAGCTCATGAGCCCAGTATGTCAGAACAGAGCCTAGATGAACCAATACCTTCACTTACAAGAATCTAGGTAAAAAACCCACCCAAGCTCACCCTGAATTCTGACCTGCAGAACAGCAAATTAACCCAAGGTTTTCTCTTCAGCTGCTAAATATTTAACGTTAGAAAATTAATACAGTCATTTAGGAAAACCTCAAGCTATATTTTCTGACAGAATCACAAGCCTAACAAAAATTTAGAAGCTGTGGGGAAGCTAGCTGTTGCATTTAATATTTTTTAAAACTGGCTCTAAAACTTTAATGTATCTTCTAAATATTTCTACAAAGGGATAAGGTATCCAAACACTGCATCAGCATCAGGAACTAACCCCACACATTACAGAGCCCTGTAAACTGGATGAGAAAACCTCAGTGAGCTTGAGTAATGAAGGTAACTGAAATCAATTAGCATTACAACCTGGAGAAACTAAACAACGTAATTACTAATATCATAGATAGAAAACTCCTGATCATATGGTTCCCAGTTAAGTGATATCTCTGAAGATAAGTGCTAGCCTCCCACTTGCTCTAACAAGAGTCTCCTTCTCTTCCTGCCTCTTCATGCTTTTATTCATGGGGAGATGGTTCAGTCAGCAAAGCACTTGCTGTGCAAGTGTGAGGAACAAAGATCAGAACCATAGGGCAAGACATTAAAAGCCAGGCATGGTCGCACGTACCAGTGCTTTCAATACTGGGGAGTACTCTTAAGACAGGATCCAGGGGCTTGCTGGCCATCCAGTCTGGTTGAAATAAATGGCAAGCTCAATTTGTGAGACACTCTGTCTCACAAATAAGGTAGAGAGCAACAGTGGAAAACAAGGTATATGTGTGTGCATGTACTTACACACATGCACGTATATATGTGCACACACACACACACACACACACACACACAACACCAAAAAGAGAAACAGACATGTCTAATATTCATCATGAGTTCTCATCTGCTTCAAATATGAGCACTGAAGTGTGATATATACTAGGGTGGTCATCCAGCTGAGGGAATTTCTTATCTTGCTTTGTATCTTAGACAGCGAGTGATGTTAGAAGAATGGTTTTTACACTCACAGAACCAAGGGTCCTGTTGGCTACAGCAGGCAGGGCAACAGGTAAGGATGCAGGCGTAGGAGGTGTTACTGTAATTTCACCAACAGGGTCTCTGGCCACAAGCATCCTCACTGAATTCCCACAGTTCCTTAGCACCTGAGCAACTTGCTCACTGGTCATCCCTTGCACATTTGTACCGCCAATCTTCAAGATGTGGTCCCCTGTCTGTAGTCGCCCATCCTTTGATCAAAGAAAGAAAAACAAAATTATTTAGAGAAATCAATGATTTAGCTTAACCGCTTAATAAAAATACATCAGACTTTCAATTCTGGCAAAATGACTCACAAAGTCACTTCCAATGCGGGACAAACATAACATTTCTAATAATCTACTGAGCTGACAAAAGTTAAAGCAATTCCTTGTACAACACAAAAGATGGAAGGGTCCAAATTGAAATAAGGAATCAGAACTCTAAAAGAGGCCTCTGATCGGGGGTTTTAACGTATGTCTAACAACTTAGAGTCAGAGTATAATGACCATGTAGGCAAGGAAAAGATCAAAAGCTGAGGACTTGAGAAAGGAGAGACAGAATGAAAGGATCTGGCATGAAGCTGAGGACCCCCAAGGCCAAAATGCTAAGCAGCATGACTGGGGAAATACAAAGTTGCCAGTATGGCTAGAAGCAGGAGAAAAAAGTAAACAGTAAAGAGCAGCTAGCAGGACAGAGGGAGGGAGAGTAATTTTTTATGACTGAGGAGCAAAGTCAGCAAAGAAAGACATCCATGCCTGGTTAAATTTTCTAAGATCTCACCAACTTCTGTGCTTTAAACAGACTTAGGAGGAAACGATCTAAGCAGAGACCGCAGCTGGGAGGCTCCAACAATGGCCTCACTGTGGTGTGGACGAGTTCAGTTCCAAACTGAGAAGGGATAGCTGCACGTACTTTCCAAGCACTGCCACAGAGTGACTGATAACTTCTACATGGGATGTCAGACAAAGGGAGAAGGAACCACAACACCAACATTTTAAACTACCAGACTAGAAGATAAACTTATCATGAACTCTACTGCAGAAAACTGAAGAGTAACAGATGAGTGGGAATAGAAACTGTGCACCCGTATGCATATTGTGTATATACTGCATCGTGAAAAGTTTAAGACATAATTCATGAAAATAAACACCAGTTAAAATTACTTAAGAATGCCCTCTGTAAAAATTCTGATCCATCTGCATTTTGCCTAGGTTTGTTTGGTCTGAAAACCTCAATCCTATAAAATTACCTTTAGTACTGCATATTAAAGATATCAAAATGTCAACACTGATGGCCTAAGAAATATATATGCCTACAAAATATCTTACAGGTTAAAATAATTTGCATGGCCAGCTATGGCAGCATATGCCTATCCCAGCATATGAAGGCAGGAAAACTGAGGCCATCCTGAACCATATAAAGAATTTGAAAATAGCCTAAACTATATAGTGAGATATTGTTTCAGAAGATCAAAAAGAAAGCTGGCTTGGGTGGTGGGGGTGCACATGCCTTTTAATCACAGCATGTGGATCTTGGTGAGTTCAAGGCCAACCTGGTCTACATTAAGTGGCAGGACAGACAGAGCTACATAGTGAGACAAAGAGGAGAGAAGGGGAGGAGAGGAGAGGGAGAGGAGAGGAGAGAGAGGAGAGGAGAGGAGAGGAGAGGAGAGGAGAGGAGAGGAGAGGAGAGGAGAGGAGAGGAGAGGAGAGGAGAGGAGGGGGCAGGGGAGGGGAGGGGGAGGGAGAGAAGAGGAGGAGGGGAGAGGGGAGGGGAGGGGGAGGAGAGGAGGAGGGCAGGGGGAGGAGGGGAGGAGGGAAGGAGGGGAGGGGAAGGGGGAGGAGAGGAGGAGGAGGGGAGGAGGAAGAGGGAAGGAGGAAGAGTGGGGGAGCAGGAGGGGGAGGAGGGGGAGAGGGGAGGGGGAGGGGAGGGGATGAGGAGGGGGAGGAGGGGGACGAGGGGAGGAGAGGAAGAGGAGTGGGGGGAGGGGGAGGGAGAGAGAGGAAGGGAGGGAGAGGGAGGGAGGGAAAGAGGGAGAGAGGGAGAGAGGGAGGGAGAAGGAGGGAGAGGGAGGGAGGAAGAGAGGGAGGGAGAAGGAGGGAGGGGGAGGGAAGGAGAGGGAGGGAGGGAGAGGGAGGGAAGGAGGGAGAGAGGGAGAGAGGGAGGGAGAAGGAGGTAGAGGGAGGGAGAGAGGGAGAGAGGGAGGGAGAGGGAGGGAGAGAGGGAGAGAGGGAGGGAAAAAGAGGGAGAGGGAGGGAGAGAGGGAGAAAGGGAGAGAGGGACAGGGAGGGAGAGAGGGAGGGAGGGGGAGAGGGAGGGACAGGGAGGGGCAGAGGGGGAGACGGAGAGGGAGAGGGAGAGGAGAGGGAGAGAGGAGAGAAAAAACAAAACAGAAAAGAGAATTTCAGACAGCCAGAACTACATAATGAGACCCTATTTCAAAAGAAAACCAAAAATAAAAGAGAAAGAAAATGAGAGGGAGTTAATTAATTCAATCTTGTTGGAAAAGCAAATTTAATTTAAAATGAGATAATTTAGGTTTAAAAGGTTGGCTGGCCAGGCAGGTGCATGCCTTTAATTCCAGAATTCAAGAGGCAGAGATAGTCAGATGTCTGTGAGTTCAAGGCCAAGTCTAGTCTACATAGGGAGGTATAGGCCAGTGCTACACAGTGAGATGCTGTCTTTCAAAAATAGAAAGAAAATGTTGACTGTTCTAACCAGGTTCAAAAGACTAGTAAGTAGCAATCCCAAAACTGACTCCAAAACTGGCTGTCTGGCCATGGTGGTACAGGCCTGTAATCCCAGCAGATGGGAGATAGAAGGAGATTATGGTGTGCACAGTGACTATGGGCTACAAGGCAAGTTCTAAGTGCCTGGCTTGCATAAGACTTTAAAAAACAAAATTTTAACCCAAACTGTCCACTGATGTATAGCAGGTCATTCTCTAATACACAAAGGATGCTAATACATAAGATCTTTATTGCTTACCTATCCACCAAGAAACTGTCTATCATTATCAAATGATTTTAATAGAATGAACATGATGAAAATAAGTATTTGCTACCTGGGCACAATGAGCTAGAGGACAATGCAGTGAGTGCTGAGAGAATTTGTTCTGGGCTCCACAATCATGCTTCCAGGTGACACCATTTAGAATTCATGCAAGAGAGAAAGATACCCACAGCTAAACACTGAACTGAACTCCTGGAACCTAGTGACAGAGATGGAGGAGTGATGAGCAAAGGGGTCAAGACCATGATGGTGAAACCCACAAAGACAGCTGACCGGATAAGGCGGAGCTCTTGAATCCCAGACTTATGGCTGAGAGGCCAACAGGGGACTGATCCAGACTCTATGAATGTAGTGCCAGTGAGGAGGCCACAGAAATCACTGGGGCCCTGCGTAGAAGATCAGTGTTTACCATGGTGTATGAATGATCTTTGGGAGCCCATTCCAAATTAGAGGGATGCTTTCTCAGCCTGGACACATGGGGAAGGGCCTAGGTCCTGCCCTGGATGAAATGACAGACTTTGGAGATCCCTGTGGGAACACCAGACCTTGAGCAGAGACACACTTCCCCTTCTGCCTGGGAGTAGGCAGCTGTAAGACAATGTTTAGTAAAAACATGTTTACTAAAAACGATACAATAAGTTCCTGGAAAAGGCCTTCCCACGGAAACCGCCCTGACCTCGACCTTGTCTAAAGACTAACCGCACCTTCAAAAACCCACACACATCCACCTCTGGTGTCAGAGCAGAACCAGCCAGGGTAGAGGAGAGAGCAGAAGCTTCTCTGGTGGGAGCTTTTCTTAGGAGGTTTTCTTGAACATTTTGGAGCCTGTTTAAAGTTTTCTTTATATCGTTGAACGAGTCTCTGTGTTGTCAATCCCCGGACACCCTCCGCACATTCTCGGACACAGGCCACTCAGCAGACGTGACAATTGGAGGTCCCACCGAGATCGTGAAATCGAGGTAAGTGGACGGGGTTAAGAAACTATGGGGAATAGTTCCGGGAAGCTAGAATCATTACAGTATCAACTAAAAAAGTTACTTAAAGAACATGGGACTGCAGTCAAGTCTAAAACCCTAGAAGGCTTTCTAAAATCCATGGAACGAGCCAGTCCATGGTTCATTACTGGGGGGAAGCTTAAATATTCCAGATTGGGAGGAGGTTCGCCGTGATCTTCATAGACTTTTACGAAAAGAGGGATCTGAGTCCTTGCCCCCTACGACATTCTCCTTATGGAGATTAGTGAGGGGAGCACTTTTGACAGATAAGGTTCGTCACCGCCAGGTAGTTCAGGACACAAAAGAGGCTTTTTTTAGAGTTACAAGAGACTGAGACTCAAGCCTCCTTGAGTTCAGGGGAAGAGAGTGAGGAAGAGACCGTGACTGAAACTAGAGGCTCCATTGTTAGTGAGGATGAGGGGGAGTCTCTTAGTAACAACAAAAAAACGGGTAGAGGTCTCCGGGCAAAACACAAAAAGGGCTCCAGTCAGAAAAGGTTATATCCTTCTCTATCAGATCTAGAAAATGGAAGTAGCTCAGACTCAGACTCGTCACAGTCTGAAAAGAAACGGTTACTTGCTGAGATCGCGGCCCTTAAAAAAGAACTAAAAAAGATTCGAATTAAGGAAAGACAGGACAGGGAGAGAAACCCTTCCCCATACTCTGAAAAAAGGGACTCCTCCTATGAGATAACCCAGTCCTTCTCGGACCTGGAGGGAAGACCCAGAGGAGGGGTGCAATGCTGCCCAGTGGTGGCCCCAGTAATGGAAGTTCCAGATCCAAACAATTCTGGACAGGTCATTCGGCGTCATAACCCTTTAAATTTTAAGGATACAAAACAACTTAAAGAGGCAACTTTAAATTATGGAGCACAGGCTCCCTTTACACTTTCCTTAATGGAATCTTTTGCGTCTCTTAATTTGACACCTGGCGATTGGCAGCAGCTTTGCAGAGCAGCTCTGTCGGGGGGAGATTATTTGATTTGGAGAGGTGGGTTTCAGGAAAGATGCAGCCAGACAGCCCAAAGAAATGCACAGGCCGGACAGCTCCAGAGAAATGTGGAGATGCTTACCGGGAGTGGTCAATACGCCACCATTCAGCAACAAATACAATATGACATCGCAGTCTATGCCCAAGTGGCAGCAGCGGCCCAAGGGGCTTGGAAAGCATTGCCTTCCAAGGAAGGAGGGGATCATCTGTCC